TTGGATCGAAATAACTTCAAACTGATAGGTATGAGTATTCTCATTACCCATTAGCTGGATGATGTATGGACGTTATAGTGAGAAGTTACATGTCAATCACTTTGGGGAGTTAAGGGCTTTGCAAAGTTCAATGTCTTCAGATATTCTTAGACTTGTTCCGCTGCACCCGCTTTAACATTCATGGGAAAGGAACTTTCACTGCAATTTTAGGGATTTTTAAAATTAATTACGGCATATGCGGACCTAACAGTACCTAGTTTGCGAGACATTATTGTTCTTATCGTAGAACTAAGGCTTAATTCCACTTTTAGGCAAGTTACTCAAACGTGTAACAAAAACATAAGTAAGGGACTATTTGCTGTTCTAGCTTATTGATCACAAAGTTATGTAAAGTCTTTATTCAATTGCAGCTGTGTAGATACGACACGAATCGAGTTCCACCTGTGTTCATAGACTTGGGTGAACAAGGACATGTTATTTGCGAAGAAACGAATGAATACAAATTTGCATTAATGTATCCTTTAAAGTGAGTGTAGTCTTGTTTTTAATTTAGTCGACTCAACTTCCCTTTCCTTCCTCTCGTTTTAATTTTCTTCTTTAGGTGGGGTCGACGATGCAACATTTGCACTTGCTTGTTGAGGTGTTATTGAGGAAATTCCACAAACAAATTCGTAGACGGAATTTTACCCTAAGAAGCATGGAACTAGATCGATGTTTTGGGGAAAAAGGAAAAGCCCAAAATTTGTACACAGTTTTGGCAAGGTTTTCTTAAATTCGTCACATCGAGTACACCGTCTCAGAAATTCTAATTAAAATGACACAGTTGAAATAAAAGCGACATGAATGGTTTTGTTTTGTTTACTCTCGGTGATTTCGAGTGATTGCTTAAGTTTGGTAAAAAACTAGATATCGATTTCAGGACAAAAGTATATCTTTAAGATCTACAGGCCTTATCGTCGAATCCACAGGTTCGAACAGAGTCAGTGCCACCGTCACATTACTATATTTTGTATTTCCTTCTTGAAGGGATGAAACAAGACCAAGATATAACCTGTCCAAAGTCGTTTGGCTAAATACCTGCAGTTTTAATGCAGTTGGTGATCGATCATTTTGCTTTTTTCAGGAAGGGCTCTCACTCAATAAGTCACTCCAAGGTTGTTGTCGAATGCGATAATGATCCTCACGCAAAACCTGTGTTAAATCTCATAAGCGAGGACAATTTGGTAAGACACTGAATCCGAACGATTCTAAATAGTTTCGAAAGTAATCCATTATTGCTTAGGTCTTGCTTTCAGTTCGCTTTGTAATCGTTCTGGAAAATTCTCACCACCATCTAGTCGGTTTAATCAGATGAAAAAACCAAAATCAATCTTGATCCAGTCACCTGCCTGCGCTTTCCCACGCTATAAGCAATGTAGTGTTCTTAATTTTGAGTCCTTAACTGCCCTTTGGTATAGAAACGATTTTCTGTAATCTCTGGATGTTTTGATTACTTTGCTTTTTGGTTTAAGGCACTCATTCGCTCTTCTATAGACATTTCATCGTTTCGTCGTTTATTTGTGCATCTGATTTAGAAGTCTTGACTTAATGTAGCTACCAAAACGGAGAAAAAAAAAATCAACGTCCCTTCAGGAAAGGAATATATTATCCTGAGCACAATATGTTTCACCTCTAGAACTCCTTGGAAATGACCCAATTGAAATTAAATCGACGTCGTAGTTTCTTTGAGCGATTACATAGGTTATTTAAAGACAATAACTCTTTGTAGGCTTGGACAAAAATGTATTGTAAAGATTTACAGGTCTTATCATGGAAATGAATTAAGATAGTCTTGTTTCCTAGATATTCAGCTTGAAGACCTTTTGTGGTTGTCCAGATCAACGTTTATCACCTGAGACTAATAAAACAGCAACATTCGATGATATTGTTGCGCCGACTCGGTTAACCTCAACTTCAACCAAGGCGAGACCAAAATCCACACCTGGAGGTAAATGTTCAGTATGTTATTATGTTGCAGATCCAGTTTTGACAAAACTGAGCCTCCAAGTTCCTGGACAGGTGTAATCATTTGTGCCAAATTTCGTTAATTTGTCTATAATTATGCAAGAATGTGTTTTTCTTTTAGGATCTTCATTGAGTTTAGTTACCCTGGCCCTCCACATATTGGTACCATGTCTTGGAACATTTTTCCTCATCTTGATCTTTTTATGCTTGTGGTGGCATCATGTTACTATCAAGAATGCTCTGATGCGCCTCATATGCTGCCAATGTTGTGATGGCTATGATGCCTTAGAACGAGAGGGACGAATTGAACGTGTAACAGAAAGCAGTCGTCTTCTCAGGAACCAGCAGAGCTACAGTGCTGTTGGAGAAGAAGATTCCGTAGCAAAGCGCCCAGAAGAGGGAGTCGCTAAGCAGCACTTTGAATTGATTCGAAAGGACAACAAAGCCGCTGTCGTATAATTAAAATCAAATTTAAGGTAAAGCACCTTCTAAGACTCGGTTAAAACCAGTTTTTGCCATTTCGAAGTATATTTGCACTGATCCTAGAAAATTTAAAAAGCGTATCACGATTTCTTGTTAGTTTCTATACTCACCAATTTGCGGTATGTTTTAATTGTAAGAGCCCAATGATAGTTATTGACTCAATTTCATCACCATTTTAAAAAGGATACAAATGTTTACAGATATCCACTCTGAGACAATTATTTTGTACCCTTTAAGTTTTCGAAAGGAGATAGCTTAATTTTTGCTCTGGAAAAGGTCGCAATTTCATAACTTGCAAAATAATTACAAAATAAAAAAAATAGATTTCTTGAAGTGATTTTCTTTTAGATATCTCGATTTGAGACCCTTTTGGATTATGTAGTTTTAAGACAAAAGATGTAATAGGAAGGTACGATTGGATGCAAAGCATCTATGAAACCAGGTCGACGGCACCCCTAGTGTGCGTGATTCAAAATATGACCGCTATCAGTGTCAATGGGTGGTAAATCAGATAACAATGATTTGTTACGCGTGATAATCAGCGTTAAAAAAAGAAAAAAAATCGTCTTGTTTGTGCTTGCAAAATTCCAAAGAGTTGATGATTTGCAAAACCTTCTAATGATCTGGACAGGAACACCCTATTGCTGGGGTGCGGCCGACGAGTTATTCTGACATTCCTCAATAATATCTCTCAATGAATTTAAAGTTATCGAATTACATTTATGAAACGATAAATGAAAAAATTATCTGTGGGCTGGGCGTCACTCCGGTTTGTCATAGTTGATGACTGAGGAGCATGTTCAAAATTTGGTTCAAAGTTCCAATCATTTTTCCCATTGCTTAGCCGACTATCAGCTGTGAAACTTTTAAGTTAAGATCTGTCATTAACGTCCATCCATAAAGAAGAGCTTGAAGATGCAAAGAATCGATGTCAAATAAATGTGCTCCACTTTTACCCTTCCTTTCAAGCTCCTGATCATGAAAAAAATCTAATCGAAATTGGAGGGCTCCAAATAACACCGTTACAGACACAGTTTTTACTTTTGTTTTCCCAAATTCCTGAACTCAGCTGTAACCACTGACTTCAGTTGTCCATTATTTCCGAACCACATCACAAAAGATTGGCTCGTAACTAAAAGCCATGGTGTCGACTGAAAACCAAAGTTTCTAACTGAAATTTTTATGTGTCACACGAGCGATACCACAAAATGACGTCGACTTTGGAAAGTAATGAAGATAGTTCTTACGTGACGACAGACGGGTCAGTAACGATCAATTCCGCTAGTAGAGTACACCAATTAATTCCATTTTATTCCCTGAATATTTGGCTAGTATCTTGTCCACTTAAAAGGTCCTACTCCGGCTCCCAGAGGTGAAAAGGAAAATCAGTCAGGTAAAGCAGTTCACTCTTTTGAATCAATGCCGGGGTACAGACAGTTTAAAGGGAGGTGTTAGTGCAGTTGCAAAACGAATAATATAATCGCTGAAATATTCAAGAGCGGAAGTTAATCGTGTGTGGAATGAAATATTCATTTTCCACAGAGTGAGCATCAACCAACTTAAGGACTTCCCTGCGGCAGGTTATGTACAAAGCTTTATTAATCAAACTTGAGCAAGGCGCAGAACTGGGATCGAAATCAAGGTACTCGATTGTTTATTGTAGTTAAAAAGTGAACGTGCACGCAGAGTTCAGCCGGTTTCTTGGGCTCAGCATAGTGATAGAGTGAGACAGGCAGGGTTTAATGGATTCCAAACGCTGTGCTGATACATTGCATAGTAAATTCCTTTGAACTATGATTTCGCTTTGTGTTTAAGGCCCGGTTCAAACGTCGAATTTCACATGTGCCGAACTTAATGCGAGAGTTAAATGCATGTGAAGTGCGACGTTTGAATAAATTAAATTCGACTGTTTTAAATTAAATGCGACTTTCGCCGTATCTGCGACGACTGAAACAGTCGAGGATTCGACTTAGGTTCGACTTTTGATTCAAACGTCGCATCTCTTATGTGCCGAACCTAATGCATGATTTATTGGAAAAATTTATGATTCATTTATTACCCACAACTCGCCAGGAACTTTGTGAATGCCATGTGTGAAAAAGCCAATGCAGGACAAAAACAATGGCGGGAGACGAATGAATTTGTAGTTCTTGCTTAGCAAAGACAAAATGTAGTTGTTTGACGTGCGGTAAGTACTTTTGTACGAGGTGTTCGGTTTTTGAAAACAAAGAGGGTAGTCCTGGGTGGAAAGTAGAAAAATCTGTGGCATATTGTGGGTCGTGTTTCAATGAAATGATGGAACGTGAATCAAGTCAAAGTATTATGACGAAAATCCAAGATAAGGAAGCAAGAACAAAGAGTAAAACAAAATCATCAGTAAAGCATTATTAAGCAAACGCTCAATAGAAGTCTTCGTCTGGCAAATAAGTGGTGCACTTGGGAATATTGACAGCGAACAGAGTTAAATTCGACAGAGTTAAATTCGACGTTTGAATCAAATGCCGTATTTAACTATTTTAGTGGACTAAAATAGGAGTTGAGTTCGGCACATGTGAAATTCGACGTTTGAACTGGGCTTTTAAAATATTTGACTAAAGTCTACCCATAGATCTGCATCGAGAGGCGATAAATAGATATGGGATTCTCTTAACTGCTCTTCTCTGTGACGGGAAATCAAAAGCGAGAGCAGAATTTCTCAGAACATTAGGTATTGCAAGGCCTACTCTGGGGCCTTAAGTCGCCTTAACTTTGGGCGACTTTGGGCGATTTAAGGCGACTTAAGCGAAATTGGCAGAAAAAACATTGCGACTTTAGGCGATTTAAGGCAACTTAAAGCGACTTAAGGCGACTTAAGGCGACTTAAAGTGATTATATTTGACTGAAGTGATAAAATCAAAGTTTGCAACAGTCTCTCCATAAGTCCTAAAATTATATTGGCGAAACCATGTCGCCACTTCTCTACTAGGATAAAGGAGCACACGGAAAGCGATTAAAACGCATATTTTTTTAAGCATTTCAAGACATCTCCTTCTTCTAAGAACATATACTCCCTTTCTTGCTCTAGTATTCTGGATTCTGCTAACAACTCAATTGATTTAAAACTCAAAGAAGTTTTTTATATAAATAAGATCAAACCTGAACTTGACAAACAATTACAGCTTTATAACACTTTTCTAGCGTTTTAGTTCACACCTTTGATGTTTGGTGTCACGTTGTAATTAGTACCCGCTTTTGTATTACATCATACTGTAAATATTTTATTCATCTACTTGTCTGTTATATAATTACTCACGTTCTGTTACTCATTGATTGAAGATGGCATAAGCATGCCGAAACATGTCTCTCAAAAAWGTTGTCTATTTCTTACAATATTTAAAGAACTGAATCCCTTGCAATAAACACCATAGTCAATTTGGTTACTTTTGTGTGTTCATGAGTCACCATAGTATAAAATATCCAGATTTCAAACCAATTTAGCTAAAAATAATTAGACAGAATTCCCACAACAGTTATTGTTAAATTATACAGCCAAAGCTAGTGAATAGATAGCCAAGAAACCAATTTAGCTTAAAATGTTTATGCAGAATTATCACAACAGTTATTGTTAAATTATACAGTTAAAGCTAGTGAATAAATGGCCAGGAAAACATCATGGGTTACCTGCCCAACATAAACAAACCTATCAAAAATATACACATAAAGACACACATTTTTAATGTAAGAAAAGAGACATGACTTACATAAAACTATCAATAAATTTTCCACATAATTAATTAAAAATAGCTTGATTCTTTAATTATTTCACAAAGCCTCACAAATTATAAAAAATTGTTATCTTAGTAAACTTGTCCCCAATATTTTTGCCACTTGCACTGTCAATTTTGGCATGAAAGTTTGGCAACTCGCATGCCTTTCCAACAGCATCGAAAATTGGTCGGTCCTTTTCAGGGACCCAATCAATTTGTTGTTCTCCTGCCTCAGTTGGACAAAACACTCCAATACCACACCGAGAACCATATACTAAGGTCTTTCTCCACTGTTGATCGGATTAGCAGGACCTTCCAAGAATTCAAGTTTTATCTTTAGCCTGGTGGCAGTATTACAGGTTTAAAAGCATTCATTGTTACTTTACAACTGTCTAGAAACTAACGAGTCACGACGAAATTCTCCAAGCTGAAAGCTAGCTCTAAAGTCTCCGCCATTTTAATTCTCCCAGCAACCTTTGCGCCGCTAACTAGTTTCCATGCTTCGAAATTAGCAGCGGGACTACACTGTAGGGTTTCTCTCGCCAAGTACGTCCTTTTCATTGAAGCGGTCGCCCAGTTAAACTTTCAGAGTGAATTCTTTTAAAGCTTTTTGAATTTTTTTTTGCACTAATAAATTAACTATTTTTCAGTACACTTTTCAGCAAGCTCGCGTGCGTGTTGTTCTCACGTGCACTTTCGTCACGGGACAAAACTTAAGTCAAGTGATGAAATATTTCTGAAGGCCATGTTTGCCCTAAAAGGCTTCTCTTGGCTTAGAAGTGGTTAATGTATGTTTATCATCAAACTGACGAATATGAAATGTGCAAAAAGACTATCAAAGTCTTAAGATAGATAAATATTTACACCTTTAGTAGGTTCGTCGAGCTACAAAGTTCAAATGTTTTCAGTTGGTCGAATAAGATGTGGGAAGTAGCTAGTACAGATGTACAGATTAATGGGTTTATGCTAGAGAAATGACCCACTTTTGTCATTCTTTTACTCTGGGTAGGTTAAGTGCATAAAATTTAGCTTCAGTTAAGTTTAGTTGACCTTTGATAATGTTATTTGTACTGCTCAAGGTATATGTGAGTGGCAAGAATTGGGCCTTTCTCCAGAATACCTTTCTATCCTTTTATCTTGATGATCTGGTACTCCAGGTTCTATGTGATTCAATATTAAATTTTATTACAGGACTCGAGCAGTCAAAGGGCCAATAACTAAAATCAACCAATCAAAATGCTCTATTGCCGGTCCAATATTCTCTAAGTATTGGACCGGGCACTGTCCCGAATGGTCCCGAATGATACCGCAGTTGTGTCCCTTTGAACTTCAGTCGTATAATAAATCTCTTATTAACCAAGCTTGCTCGGGACCGTACTGGAAGAGTATCGACCCTCGTTCTTTTTTGTACGGACCTCGCTGCGCTCGGTCCGTACTGTCAAGACCTCGGGCCGATATTCTCCCAGTACGGCCCTCGCGCTTGGTTAATAAGATATATACATCCTGATGATAATACACAGTGTCAACCCTTTTATTAACCTTTTCATCATGAAATACAAAACAGAAATTTTGTTGAAACAGATAGCTGTTTTAGTAAGAAAAAGGAAGAGTATACATTGTCATATTTCTACATCAGTATTTTTTACATGTAGGTTTTACCCATGCCAGCATAAGGGCTAGACAGGTGCATGACTATTTTCACATGGAGTTTCTATGTATATGGAGGCCACTGCCCACCTCACACTAACAATAATTAAACTCATAGTCCATTGCAGGGTTACCTCCCCCTGCCAACCAGTACCCATATTTTCACCTAAGAAAGGTAAGGCACTTTGAGCTTACATTATGCTGCCCGAGAACAAAATGCAATGCTCCAACACTAGACACCAAAACTGGACTAACATCGAGTCCAGTGCACTAACCATTCAGCCACCATGCCTCCTCATCTGATACTCATTATGATTAAAGTGGGGTGAATGGGGTCAATTGGGATTAGGGTGGAACCCTTATGACATTGTGTAACCAATAGTGACATAAGGAAACTACCCCTTAAGGCGACTTAAGGCAACTTAAGGTCCCAGAGTAGGCCTATTGCAAACTATAAGGAAATCAGCAAATTCTATTGACGGTTTCAATGTATATAGCGGAGAGCGTGAATCAAACCATTGCGTTCCTGATGCCAAGCACCTGGGGCATCTTAAATTACTGATGAATTACCAATTCCTAGCAATTTTCCGATGATTGGTAGTAGGGCGAAATGTCCGACGGATTTCATAACGTGACAGGTACGTGCCGTTTACAATGTTTGTTTATCTTTTCTTTTCCTCTCTTCTCAGACTAAAATGACTTCACACTTCTTGGTATCAATGGTAGTATACGTCATCGTCTCTTTTATGATCGAAGGATGTTTCTCTTATGAGTGGGATGCGTTACCAGACAATTGTACGTGCGCTCGAAAAGGCCATCCAACCTACAGTCTATTTACAATGCCACGAAGAAGGTAAATGACCATGACATTGAAAATTAGGAAATAACTTGCAAATGCGCATGCGTGCCAGCTGCATGGATGAGGGTTCCTATATTTAGGAGATCAGGATCTGAGAATATTACAATAAGGGATAGAGCGAGAAAGCCAAAGGAAATGGTAATGGAAGTTTTCGAAGATATCTCCATAACACTAGACCGTGACTTTGTCAGCGGTTTAACACCAACTGGTGAACAAAAAATAATTTGAAAGTAGTAAACGACGACTTCACCTGAAGAGGAGCTGTAGATTGTTGATATTTTTTACTGAATTTGAGGTTTGGCTGATGAAGAGTTAGGAGTACATTAGGTCAGTGATAAATCGTTTTAATCGATTAATTTTACAGCAAGATGCTCTGAATTGTGTAACCTTGTGTGAACTTTCTGTTGAAAGAATTATTTATGATGATGGCCAATACACTTACACCTTCTTTCCTTGCGAGCCGGACAATTTGATATCTGCGAAGGGAAGTTGCAAAAACGTGGCAGTAAGTATAGTAAATTTGTTCTGCGCTTTATTTTCGCGTAAATATTCTCATTCGAGTTTAAGGAATCCATGAAGCCTTTTCTTCTCGTAAGATAGAAAACACTTGACTGTTGAGTAAACAAAAAAACGACGAATACGGAAAAAAACCAATTAAGCTTGGTTCGTTCATTATTATTATCAAGACCTATGATATATACAACATGTATTACACTTCTTACGCTACTGACTACGACTGCTCACCGAAAATTTTCTGATCTCTCCATGAAATAAGCATCTGTATTTTATTTATTTATGAATGCGAACAAATTACGTACGAATTCTGCATAACAAACATTGGGATGAAGCATGCAACTGTAGCCACTATCAGGCTTTTGAATATAACATGAGGTCATTTGCTTTGACGTGATGAAGATGTATGTGGAAACGACAAAAACCCAACCCAATTGGAATAAGAGGCTCCTAAGACTTGTTCTGTTTTCTTAATATACAGCTGTGTAAATACGACACAACGGGATCCCCACACGTGTATAGAGACATTGGTGAACAGAGAGACGTTAAGTGCGAAGCCACTAGTGATTATCCGTTTGAATTGAAATATACTATAACGTGAGTTGACAATAATTTAAGTTTAATAATGCTTTTTAGCACTGTACAAGAATAATTAACAATAAAAAGGTACAGAAGGTAAAGGAAAGCAATAGGGGGAAACTGAATTCCCATGTAAAAACTGCTCTCCAAGTTTCTGAAGTGGACCAATCATTCCTAATAGAGTCACTGACTATGAATGAGTCTGTGATCGCTGATTCATGAGAAAGGGGATATCACAGCGGACACGTTGCAGTCTTTCCTTTTGGTTGCCAAAGTAGTCAAAATGTTTGTAGCAAATTGTTGCTTTGGTTTTATTCTCTAGGTCAACTTTGTCAATCATTTTCATCCATATTCAACTACCTCTAAACGTCTATGCGTTTTGGACGGACGGAAGTGAAATAAAGTTGAATGTAAGCGGTGTTGATGAAGTATCACTTGTCCCGTTTTCTAGGTCAGGGGCTTTTAAAGGAGGTACTTCCACGGTCATTATCAAGTGCAGTAAAGATCCATCCGCTAAACTTGTACCAATTAACATCACAACAACAATTATGGTACAGACATATATATATATATTTTTATGCAGTGTAATAAGGAAAAGCTCATCGGGCTTTGTAAACAATAGTCTTCGTGTTCTGGAAGAAAACTTGTGGGAGATGTAAATGATATATATGCATATCACTAACAAAAAATTGCTTAGGACAAATATCTAACGCTGAGTTCATTGAACTCCAATAGTTGCGCACTTTTTCTTTTTTCGATAGAAATTCAAGTTAGAGACGCCTTGTGGATGTCCTAATCAGTGTTTACCTGAGTCTCCTACCACAGCTAAACCAGGACCAACTCCCGCCCCCCCAAGTAAGATGTCCGTCTCAGGTAAAGCATTAAGCTACTATGTCAGTTTATCTTCTCTTTTTCGTTACCTTTCATCAAAGTAAGTTACCGATCATATGAAAACAACAAAATGTCAAGTAAATATTGAAATTTTAATTCTGATTCAGTTTCTTAACGCTTTAAAAGCAACTTATGCCCTATGTCTACAAAATTGGATAAACTAAAGCTGCGGATAATCTAAATTGATTGGGACGCTTACTTAAAGGAACAATCCTGCTCGCAAAATCTTCCTTTCCACAAAAATGAAATAATTATATGTGCAGGCTTGATTAAGCTGCGCGCGACGAAACTAACGTTATGAAAAAGCAACTTCTGCGAATCGAAGGAAGCAGGAAAAACGCTGGAAAGATAATCCTATTTTCACCATTAATCATCAACAACAGTCTATAAAATCAATAAAGAAAATATGTTTGTTTTTCAGATTGGGAAGTGGACATCTTATCACCAATTGTGGGATTTTTCGCTTTTGTGGGCATATTTCTATTTATATGGTGGCTTTGGTTTAACAGGTTGCTACGCTGTCCCCGTCGCCATGACTACGACAACCTAGGAGGCGGAGCAGGAAGAGACAGACTCGCGACAGAGAATACTCCACTTATAGACGATCGCGAACAAAGTGATCACGCTATTGAACACGAAGACCCTGGGGCAGAAGGAACTCTAACTGAACCAGTTCAGGTCGAAGAAGGAGATGTGAAAGAGGAAGACAAATTTGTCACACCCGGCATCAGACCAACTCCTGTTTAACTTGTTTTGTCCTATTAAGTTGTAGTTGGTGTTAATCTAACATATTTAAAGACTTCATTAAATCACATTACTGAATATCTCTGACTTCTAGGGCATAAAAGAAACAATGATAATAACACATCTGACAAGCTAACAACTTCGTTTAGTAGTTACAGTGTCAATCAATGTTACTGTGGAGAATCTTGTAGGTGATGCCGCGACCTTAATTAGCTCTTTGCCATAGGATGTGACAGACAAAGTGAACGCAGAAAAATAGATTTATCAGGGCAATTAAGCAATAACACATATTTTTGAAACCGTTCTTTTGATATCATAGAACACATACATACAATTTCTCTATCAGTTTCAATGCAGTTTTAAGGAAATCTCACGAAAATAGCACCACTTCTTATCTCCACAAGGACACACTTTTTACATTCAGTGCTCAAACATCAATGTATATCCGCAGACAAAAGCTCGTGAAAGGGGAATTCAATAAATACAGTGTATTTGTTAACGTTGATCAGTTTGGGTCGTTCTGTTCGGTTCGTTGATTATGTCGTGACAAACAGTCATCCAAGTGATTCGAGCTACACTTTCATGACACATTGAAAGCGAGATTACAATATGTGAGCGAGAGTTTGAATATTTGTATGCTTCATCCATGGTACACCTCTTTTCGCTACAAGTCCAACCGTAAAAATTATTGCATCCAGCTGTATCCTTCGACTATAATCCTTACTCATCATGCCTTATACGTTTGCATGTGAAGATAACAGTGTAATGGAATTAAAGTTATATATGTTTTGCTTTTCTAATTTTCTTCTCTATTTCCTAACACTGCTCTACTATGTAAAGTCTTAGTCTCTTCTCCCTAAGTTTCTACAAACGAGTGGTTTGTGATGTTTGCCTATCAACAGAAACTGTGAAACTTCCTCTTCCCTTTGAAGATAAACTTCAGATGCTAATAAATCTCCCGAGCTTTTGATAAAGACGAGTAATGCCAAAAAGATTTCTAACTTGGTGGCGGAACTCACTGTTTACAATGCAGTAGATGACTGGGTCTGCAGCAGAGTTCACTATCGTTGACACAACCATCAGCGTAAGCAGAATGGTGTAGTACGGCAGCACAGTAATATCTGGCCAAAACATCGCAACTAATCTAAGCAAAGTCAACGGGAGCATGCTCACTGCAAACAAAACTACTAAGGGTGTAAGGATGCGATAGGTCTTCCTTTTTTGGCGTAACATGGTTTTTACACTTGAGGAATGAAGGTTTCCCAAGCTTGTGGGACCATGAGGCATACCCTGAAGGGAGGCAGTCCGTTTAGAGACCAGGTGCGCAATTTTAATGTAGCTAAAGGCAATGACAGTCAGGGGAAATACGTACCAAAGGACAGTGAGGCTTATGATGTAGGTCATGTAGATTGTCGTTGAAAAGGAGATGTAACAGCTTCTGTGACACGAGTCGTACTCTGTAAACACGTACAGAGGAATGGAACCAACAGTGAAGGAAGAAGCCCACACACCGAGCAGAATAAAGCGCCTTTTCTTGCACGATAGCCTTTTGCGGGCGTGAGCTGCTGTTCGAGCGATGTTCACGTACCTTTCGAACCCAATCAATGTGATAGAAAAAATGGCAGCGCCAAAGAACGTTTCTGTTGTCGGCATAATATACAGGCAAAAAGCTCGGCCAAGTGCCCACCCGAACGGATCTTCCTCCTTTAAAATGGCAATTGGCAAATTGAAGATCAGTGTACAAAGATCTGCTATCGCCAGGCTGAAGAGGTACTGGCTTGCTGGTCCAAGCACCTTGGGCCTTTTGATAATAACTAAACAGACTGTGACGTTCCCAATGACACCCAAGAAGCCCAGGGTAACTTGGAAACCAATCCGGAAGATGGTTACCGCAAGCGGTTCCTTATGCAGGAGGTACACAGGAGATGTTACATTGCTTTCTGAGCAGTTGGTGCTCATTTCGACCCACCCAAAGGATCTGTGTTTAAACGAAACGATTGGTTAAAACCTCTCCTCTTTATCAGAAAGAAGAGAGTAACCGAATCAAAAGCAATAATCAAACTGATTTACAACTACAGGATCTACATTTTGTGGCATGAAAAAGAAATATGTGCTTGCTCATTCGTCATCTTTAAGTTTAGGTTAGTCAAAATGGAAGTCCCTCTCCTTGAAAAGGAGAAACGTGAGTTTTGGCTAAGACATAAAACAAAACGCGACATGCATCTCGCTTAAAGGTTCCACCTCTTACGTAAAAAGAGCGAGTGTGTTTATGATCTTACTTGGTGCCCTTTCAAAACATGTTTCCTCTCATTCATCAGCTTTTTACTCACTCATTTACACATTTGTCGTACTATGTTATCCTTTTTTTCACAACCTCAAAAGTGAAATACATCCATGGAAAAATTTTAAAAGTGACTTGACTTATCTTGTGCACAACTTATCCAGCCGACGGCAAAACTGAAATTGAAAGTTGCTTTGTAATGGCCCCATACATATATTTTCACGACTTTATGCAATTTTCTCATCCCTCTCTCTCTCTCTCTCTTTCCCCCCTTTTTTACGTAAGATGTAAACGAGGAATCGTTGGTTTAAATGTCGTCATACCTTTTAAAGACAGGTTGCAAAGTTTGAGCGTCTCCTCTTTGACTCGCTTCGGTTACGACAGAACTGGCTTTTTAATCAGTTTTTTTGACTCAAGGGGTGTCGTAAGTGATAATTAATTGTAAACTACATCAAAATAGATTTGGTTTTGTGTATGTTTAGCCCTCAACTATCTATTTAAAATACATTTCGACAAAACTTGTATCTTTAACTCCCACTGAGTTAACATGGCCCTTCGTTTTCTATTAAACGTTCTTTTGAACCGCAGTGGTCATTGAAAACAATTGCTTAAAGTCGATAATGATCCGCAAAAACCACAGAGAGCTATTCCTTATCAATTTTAATTGAAACCCGTGGATTGCATTTACTTTTGATTGGTAAAAACAAACATTTAGCAACAACCCCTTTAGCCATAAACCAGTGAGGACTTCAAAATGAGCCATTAGAAAAAAATAGAACAAAAAACAACGCCAGGGGCTTTTTTTCTCATAAAAGGGTTCAGAAAGAGAAAGGGTTTTCATCAAACCCGGATGCATTTGTGCAAATTATATAGACAACGCGGATATCTGAGGTTTTCCACAAAGCACGTAATGCAGATTTTCTTTCACTTCCCTTCATGTGCTCCAAATATATATGTACCTAACAAACCGAAAATTACTTAACAATTACAATGCAAATTATCTTGGTGAGAAATAACAATCAGGATGAAGTCACGAAACCATGAAAGGACATTGAAAGGAAACACGTACGAAGTGTGCGTGAAATGTTCCCTGAATCCAACAGCCTGGTTTGAAGCGTGCGTAGAGATACCCATGAGGACTGCCGGGTAAACCTATGGCTCACTCCATAGGGAGGTTCAGTGATCCATTGACTGGGATGACAACTTGATAGAATGGAATAATTTAGAAGGTTTGGATTTCCCTTGTATTATTGAAAGCGCTAACGATTAAAAACAGATGCTTGTGGTCACTAACAAAACAATTATTACAGTGCAAGCATTGGCGATAGAAAAAAAAAAAAAAAAAAAAAAAAAAAAAAAGATGCAGGAAGGCAATGCCCAAACTTTGTCGACTTTTCATCGCCTTCAAAAAGGAGAAGCACTTGGCTTCGCTGCGGGTGTTCGTTTTGTGGCTTAAATTTGTGATTTTGGTGCATCGTGCTCTTGAACGAGGAAACCTTAACGATGATGCAGAAAGTTTTGAATATCGAAGCAACAGAAACAAAAGCCACGCCACGGGATAGGCGGATGGAGGCTTAATGTCACCAATACGACACAGAAATTCTACGCATGAATAAAAAGGCATGTTTCTAAAAGAAACTGTGTTGCTGCGTCAAGAGGGGGGTATTTCAAGACAATTTGGTTTTATTAACTGAGTTTATAAAGGGCTAGAATGGGCTAAAGCTCAAAACATCATCTTTAGAAACTCTTTGCGGTGGCTAATATACATTAACAATAAAGTTGATAAAAACAAATTATCTTTATCTTAGCTCTATCGTTTGGTTGTCACGCGATAACAGTTACACAAGAGGATTGTTTACTGCCGAAGAGAGAATTGAGAACTGAGAATTGTTACACAAAGGGAACAACAAACAAACACTCTAGTTTAATTTTTTGGGGGCAAAGATGGTGATAGAAGACTCTTGTAATGTTCCTGAAAATGGAGAACACTTCCGTTTTTTAGGACGGCGGCTGAAGCAAGTGGCATGAACGTCGTTCGTTTCATATCAGAAATTGACACGAAAACCAGTTGGAAGTCAAAATGAATCAAGCAAATTTGGCGAGGTCTCACAACATGCATTGTACGACCTCGGAAATTTTAGGAAGGATACATTGTTCAAATCCTTACCCGAGACAATCTGTCCTAATCGAGGAAGTCAGGTGAAGATAGATTTAGAAATAAACTTTATGAGGACTTTTTCCGTTGGTCTTCTCGGATCATAAGAAAATGATGAACACTGAATGCTTGCAATTGTTGTCTGACATCTAGATCACTAATTCTGGTATCATTTTCAAAACAGATTTCCAGACTGTCTCGTATTATTGCGTAGGATGTCCTTCCTGCTGGTCTATTTATCTGAAATCTACCCTTATAAGGTAAATGTAAACTTAAAACTGAACGAATAAATGGGGCTAGTTTCTAAAGAAACTGCGGTGCTGCGTTCCCTTATTAGGTAACTGTAAACTCAAAATGAATAACGGGGGCATGTCTGTAAAATGTGGTGCTACGTCGGTGGGTAGCAGTGAATTCGTGCTTACGAAAAGCTGTTCATTACATTTACGCAACCACGGATGAATTAGAAATTCCTATTAATTTGCTCTCATGTCGTGTAGACTTGACATGCGCCAGAATCCCTCTTTCGTTAACAGCCTAAAATTCGACTAGTGGAATTTAAGGGCAATAAAATTTTTTAACAAACTTGTGTACAATACCAAAAGATATATCTAATAAAAATTTACAAGCTTAACATGAATAAGGTTGACTAATTTAAAAATATTTTAATTGCGAAAATTTTTTAAGGGAAAGCTTTTTGATAAAATTGGGTTCAGCTGGCGTCCCAAATGTAAAAGTCGTCGTTAAAAAAACTGCTTTAGTGGCTAAAAAAAACAAACATGACTTCAATTATCAGGGGAAAAACGGTCTGGAATAGCTCTTACTTATTAGAGAAATTTGAAAGATCTCGATTGGTCACGGTACGGCATGCACACTAAGGAAGCAACTGCTGGTACTTTTTTCACAATTTCTCGCTTATCAAGTTAAACAATTTTAAAAATAATTTTCTCGCATTTATTGTTTCTTTAAGTAGGATTCCGGCTTTCCGCTGGACTCTTTATTTTTTCAATTCATTCTTTTGAGGTAATTTCAAATTTTCGCTTGAACGAAGGGCTAACCCTCCAAACGTCAGCTTTAGAAACCCTTTACGGTGGCAAAAGTTACATTATCAAATAAACTCAGTTTATCATGTAAAAACAAATTATTTTGATATATTCTCCGCCGACGCATCACCGCATTTTCTTTAGAAATTTATTTCCCTTTTTTAAGATTAAGACATCCTAAGAGACGAAGCAGTGATAAAAAATCCATAACCACACCATTCATTAGCCCCTGCATCAGTCTTTTCTACTTCCTTTCAGACAAACGGGAAAAGTCTTGAGCATATGGTTCACGCGAAGGCAAGAGGCTAAAATAACAGAAGCAGGGGAGAGTAGGAAAAGTCTGCTTCTGGGCGCAGACGCATCACATTTCCGCTCCCTCAGCGAATCACTCATTGCGTCAGCTGTCAACTGAGGAACCTTTGTTACTACCTTCCGGTGGATAGTGAAACCGCAAATAAAGATATCAGCGGGACAAATTTTCAACATCTGGAAAATTGATTATTTGACATGTTTATCGGCATGGCGCACGAGAACTATTGAAACCACATTTGAAATTCCTGTGACAGGAAAATTCTCAAGATGAGTTCCCTCAAAGATGGCCTTATGTAGTCCCGGTATACCCGCTGAAGCAAGCGGTACTTACCATGACTGCATACAGGAAAAGAAATAAGTTTGCACAAAGTTTGTTGGGAGAAAAGATATGACAGATCTCCAGGCGTGAAGACCGCCCAAATCGGACATCTCCCGAGGAGATTGTCTCTACCTCAAAATATCCTTACCCCTTTTCGATAGAAGTAATATCAACATTGAACTAAACAACAAGGAAATCAAACTTACGAAGTTTCCGTGGAGCAAATTCTCAAATCTCTTCTAGAGCGACTCCGTTCCTATTTGAACAGATCAGATCTCTGATTTGAACTCAGATCGATCTGAATTCATCATTCCCTTTTAGTGACGGACAACTGACCAATCGTAATTTGTTTCCGTTCGTGGACGAATGACCCCTTCTTCCTTTCGCCCACCTGCTCCCGCGTGTCTCCCGATTGCCTTTCAGTCCTTCGACGGAAAGGTCGCCATGCTCATTTCTCGCAGATTGCCAGTTGCATGACGAAGAATTTTCTTAAGATTTTTCCTTATGTCTACGCTAAAAAGGAAGCTTTGAAAAAAAGATCAAAACAAAGGTGCAAATTAAAGATAAATGTGATATAAACAAACGTCCAAACAAAAGCCCTTTCAATTCGAAATGAGAAGAGAAAAAAGATAAGGTTGGTCGACTGAACTCCAAGAGTTCTAAAAAAGCAGACGACTGTTTGAAATCTAAAGTTCTCCCCTAAGTTTCTGTCCTTAGTCGTGAAAACATAGCAGACATTATAACATTTCTTCCTCTCATTAGCTTTCCTTTATCACTTTTTAACGCCCAAACAATATGAGCTCAGACCGTTCCCGCTGAGTTTTCTAGTTGGACAAACCTTCCCTATATTTCGAAAATAACCAACAATGACTTTGCACGTGCATGACACTCTTCCTTGCATCTTACTCCGTAGAAGAGAGTGTAAAATTTACAAACATTTCCAGTTAATTTGCTTTAAATGCACCAAACAATGAAAATGTCCCTGAAATTGTACCGATAGCTACTGGCCATCTTCAATCAGTCTCATTTGACGCCTACAATCTGACTGAACGCGGCACCATGGTTACAGTAAGTGCTTTTCAATCCTGTTGAAAGGCCTATAAAAATTTATTGAAAATTTTTAAGCGGCACCAGATGCTGTAAGTGAATAAAACCTGTTTATTGCACAGTAATTAATGTCTTCAGTAACCGATATATCATTTTTGTCATTAAAAAAAGGTTTAAAGAAAAAAGTGCGGGTCAAATCTATTTGGCGACCTAAATTTTAAAGTTTTCGTTCGATAAAATAAAATATTTTAGTCAGAGAGAGAAATATGACCAAAATTATCAAGAAATTACAGGCCTGAAATCATTTAAATTTGCGGAAGTTTCCATGATCCTGATTGGCAGTAACGCATACATCTCAGCTAATCCAATGGCGGTACTTTTTCGAATGTTAATTCACAGTTTCTTTGATATTTGGATTACTTAGTCTGCTACTATTTCCACAACAAATCTCCAGACTTTCTTCCTGACATGATTATTTCATTACGTACGATTCCCTTCCCACTGTTGATCCATTGTTTCTGCATGCTTCTTGACCGATATCTTTTTTTCTTGAGTTTCCAAAGAACGAATTAGAGTTGATGTAACCAAGCGTAATCACACTATACACTGCTTCTATGTATGGCGAAGAACAATCTCTGAAAAATTTGTCATTTGTTTGGGACAAAAGGAAGGTTAGAAAACGGTCAAATTTACCTGAATGAGCTACAAACCGAGTGGAAATGTTTCCAAAATCGTACAGATAAGAGCCTTCTCAATAAGAGTAGACATTATATAAAGTCAGCCACCTTAACCCCACATTGAAAAATGCCACATTGAGTCGCAAAAACGCGGCAGAAATGTGGCATTTTTTGTTTGAATTCGTTCATCACATTTCTACTTTTATAAGTTATACGTAAGAGCTCTTACTTTTCTCGCAGATTTGTCCAGTGAAACAAACCCTGCCTTTGTTTCGGAGAAAACAAACAATTTGGGCATAACACTGCTCATTGCATTTATCCTCAATGAGGGATGAATAATTACATGGTTAAATATTTATATAATTAATTACAGCATTTATCCTACGACGTGTGATTTAGCAACGTATATCAAGTTTCATTCTCATGTTTCATAGAACAAACATGCGTTAAACTGAGAAAATTTTCCCTTAAAATCTACAGTGTGCTGAACGTTCGGCAACTCTCTTGTCATTTAACACCCAAAATTCTACGGACATAATGGAAAGCGTTATCGTGGTTACTTTAAGTGCTTTTCAACCCTGCCTATCAATTTCTGAATACGTGTACATTCAATACCAAAAACTAAATTCGAATAAAACCATTTTTAGTGTATATTCAGTAATTTATGGCTCACTGTACAGTTTACAGTATTCAACCGCCGTTTTGAGAAGTTCTACGTTTGTGCGTGATGTTTTGTTGGAGTCCTCAGAGATAGAAATTTAAGCTTAAGGCGTTGCCTGAGTTATTTGTCATTCGAACTTTCACCTTTCTCTACACTCTTTTTGACGAAACTTTCCCTTTTAATAACAGAGATAGCCTCATTCATCTCATGAAAAAAGTACGCCGGGCAATTTTCGTTTGATTTGCGATCGCCATTGTTGTTTACAACTTGCGCGCGCAATTTCGTGGAAAAGATCGTGCGTGGAATGCATTAGAGGCTGATAATTTCTAAAGAAACTGTTTGGGGCTGCGTCGGTGGGGGTAACGAAATAATTTGGATATATCAACAAAGTTGAAATGGTAAATTGGCCACCGTAACGATTACAAAAGCTGACGTTTCGAGCGTTAGCCCTTCGTCGGAGCGAATAGAGGAATTGTGGGTTGTGTGTGCTTTTAAAGGCAGAAAATGGAGCTACGTTATCGGTGGGAACATGGCAACGAGAAAAACAAGAATAAATTAGTGGAATGAAAAGCATTCGTTGATCCCTGTGGGATTTAGACTGCCGGTTCGAAAGATGAGCTTTTGTTCAAGATTTTTACGGCTTTCCGTGCTATGCATTAATTTGGATTGCATTAATTTGGATCCAATCTCCCCCGGTATAAAACCCTTTCGAACTCCCTTGAGCTTCATTCTGCCATTTGTTGGCTTAAAATATGGGTATCCTGCCTACACGTAACCCTCTGTCTGCATAAATTAACTTTCACTAACATTGGTGCCACCCCACCTGGTATCCCGTGGTGATAATTCAGAACTGTGGTCTGAGTTGTGATTAGGAACACATAAAAATATATTGTATGGATACATGTTTGCATAGTGCTGTAATCATTGTGTCATTATTAATAACTGGTAGGTTATTTGTAATTACGTTTTGTTATGTTCACATTACAGAATTATAAAAATCAATGAATTACTCGCCTACATTGCTTCAAGCATGATAGTATGAGGCGCCAAAGTGGACAAAAATGCCGTTTAGCATTTTTTCTTTCCAATTACATAAATATGTTCTAAACTCAAGATTTTTGCCCTCAGTTTACATATTAGATGCTAACTTAGTGAAATATTTATGCTCTTTTTCGCATTTACTTTCTAAACTCTTCAGTTGCTTTCTAATTGCAAAGAAAATGCGTTACAAGTACAGAAAAAAAAATTATTCTAATTGAAATGTGTTTTAGATGTTTTAATATTCTTATCATATGCTATTTTAAGAAAAAAAAGTATTCTAATAATGTTCTTCTCATGCCAAGTTTGAAAAAAACTCTGCTCATAAGAATTCATAATTTCAAAACGAGGACGACTTTTTTCGCCACTGCTGCTCACTGGGCACTGGTATACAAAAGAACAGGCACTCTCTGTATTTAAACCTTTGCGTCTCGTACAAAGATGTGTTCGTATATCGTCTAAAATACTCGTCAGGTAAAACCACTTTGTGTAGCATAAATTTGCATGTTAATTAGAAACGGGGTTTAATTAGCACGAAAAAATTCAACTGAGAATAATTCGCATACTAATTAGAACGTATTTTTTGCAATTACAATGTATTTTCTGACTGAGAATTGGATAATTTTTCATTCTTATGAGCACAGTTTTTTTCAAAATTGGCATGAAAAGAACATTATTAGAATACTTGATTTTTTTAAAATAGAATGTAATAAGAACAGAACATCTAAAACACAATTCAATTACAATAATTTTTTTCTGTATTTGTAACGCATTTTCTTTGCAAGTAGAATGCAACTGAAGAGTTTAGAAAATAAATGCTAAAAAGAGCAGAAATATTTCACTGAGTTAGCAACTAATATAAATGTAAAAAAAAAAATGTAAAAAAAAGATGTAAAATGTAAAATGTAAAATGTAAACTGAGGACAAAAATCTTGAGTTTAGAACATATTTATGCAATTGGAAAGAAAAATTGCTAAACGGCATTTTTGTCCACTTTGGCGCCTCATATGAGAGACTGACTGCAATGTTCTTGACCACAAATGTCATCCAGCCTTTACCTGGATGATACTTATGTAAAATAAGAAGTTTTGCATTCCAAGGCAGTTAATAAAGGCAAAATCTCAAGAGAGATAAACCTTCAGTACAGTCAAAGCAAATAAAGTAGTTAAAAAAGGATACCATCATGGGTAGAGTATTATTATTGTGCTTCAGTGTGATATCATGAAGCTAAAAACTGCATGGAAAATTATTACTGTGCCATTAATCTCAACACAGTAATCACCATCAGTGTTACATCATACATATTTTCACCTACATGTACAAGCAGTACCAAGATTCACTGCCAAAATGTGTACACTTTATGTTACATGTTACATTTTCTTTCAACAGTGATGTTACAATAAAATTATACCCACATGTAAATTTGCCAACTAATACAGTTAGAAAAAGTCCCCTTATTCTTCTTTCGTATCACAATTTTGATTGTACTTCATCCACACTAAATGCATTCACTACACAGTCAGAGCTAACAGTGGCACACAAAGTATAATCCTTGTTCCACACCAATCCTTCAATAGAACCGGCATGCATTTTCCTGCATGCAAGTCTTTCACCACTCAAGCAGTCCCAGAGAACCAAACGCCCATTCTGTGTTGAACAGAGACACCAATGTTCGACAGGGTTCAAGCTCAGGTAAGTGAGTGTGTACCATCCTGGGATGTCTTTTGTGTCGAAGACATGCTTCATCTCAAAAGTAACACCATCTCGTATGTGCACAGTCTTGTCATCAGCACAAGTGGCCAATATCAACTGCCCATTGGCCATTTCCTTCCAGTCCATTGATGTTACAGCAGTTGTGTGTCCAATAAGGGTTTCAATTTTTTCTCCTAAAGAATACAATGGTTGAGTTGATGATTCATAACTGTTCTTCGAGACAAATTAAAGAAAAAAACCTCATCAGCAAACCTCTGAAGTAAAAAGAGCTGTTCATGTTATTATTATTACTATTTTTTGTATAATTAGGTGCAAAACATGTTCATCAGTGGGAAATGAGATATCCTGCCCTGTGATTGTTACAAGGATTTAATTTGCCAATTTTGGGTTTGCATTTCTCATGTCAGTCTACAATAAAAGTTAGAAGAACACAGATTTGAACACAGATAACAAGGAGCATAATGATAAGCCACATGACTTCTCTGATCTGTATTGCAAATATAATATACATGTACAATAAACTATCACATTTACATTTTACAATGGACAGAAAATGGCCATGATTACAAATCAAAGAACCAGTGCACAGTCACCTAACTGACTTGACAAGCTGGTCACAGTAGATTCTTGGCAAAGAGAATCTACATGTATTTCCAGTTTCCAGCTTGCAATTTCCTTATTTAAAAGAAACAACTAGAAAATGCCAGGCAGTTAAAATCACCATACCAAAGAATCAACCATGAGCATAATCAGAGCAAAGTTTTCAGAACTAAGTTGTTTGAAACTATCAAAATTATCAATACAATGTAATAACTGGAACTAAAGTGGAACTTGTTTAAAAAGTGAATGATATAATCTATCAAAATTATGTACATTAGATATAATAATAATAATAATAATAATAATAATAATAATATTTAACGAGGGAGCCCAACTCACCACAGTGGTTTTCAGTGGGGCCCTCATTATCTAATTAATTAAATTAATTTAATTCATTACCTCAATTGATAAAATAATAATAATAATAATAATAGTAAAAATAAATAAAATAATAAAAAAATGTGTTTATAAATAAATTCAAAGAGTCAAAATCTTAAAATCAATAACTAATTCAAATTCCAAAGTTTAAAATTAATCAAAATCTTTTAATAAAATTTTAGCTTGGATTTAAAATTTAGATAAGAGATGTGATTCAGATTAGTTGGAAGAGTGTTCCAGTCTTTCACAGCTTGATAGATAAATGTTTGTTTACCCCAGTTAGCTTGAGGAAGAGGTAAATGAAGATCATTGGAATGTCTTGTGTTATATGAATGGACAGCTTGATTTTTGATAAAATTAAAGTTAAAATCAGTTTCCCCAATCAGGCACTTGTGGATTGCAATGCAGTAATGAAAAATTGTAATTTACATGTAGCATGGAATGAAAAAATAAAACTAATTTATGTGCAAAAAGCTCAGAACTAATATCAGTCTTTTCCACTCAAGCACAGGATAGTCAGACACACAACTGAAAGTACTAAGTATAACAATACTTTTGCACTGGCATTGTATCATATATCTCACATTTATAGCAGCTGTACTTTTTAACCCGCTCTGTTGTTGTTTCTGATGGTGTAAAAAATGTTATTGAAACATTGAGTAATTTGACTTTTCACCATTCAAATTTTATAAACTAAACAATATACTGTAGATTTGAGAACTACATGTATCATAATTAGCAACACCAAGAACATAACTAATGTAATGTACAGGTATGCCTTTCACTACCCAACAAGCAAGAACATACAATCATGTAACATAAGCAATTGCAAATGAAATGTTCAGTAAAACAAACATTTCTGTATTCAATTGACACACAATAGGAATTAATTTCTTCAGATATAATGATTCGTTCATATAACATGCAGGGCCTGGCAGTTTAAAGAGCAGATAATGTTATTCAACAGATAAATTGCTATCCAGCCGATATTAGTGTTACCACAACACACTGCGCTATCCAATCCACCCTTTGAACAACCTGGGCCAGGTGCATAATCGAAGCATTTTTAAATGCTCACTCGCATTGTTCCTTAAAGTTTGAAATGTGCTTTCATTTGTATATTAAATTTTGCAGTTTGATGAAGACTTTTCCATGGCTTTATGCTTACATACAGTATGTTGTACATAAGAGGGATTCTGCTCATCCTGACCACCAGCAAAAATAGTTTTCTTCTTACAATGCATGTGGAGAGAATATACACTTTATAAAATTGCCTCCATTTGAATGAGATGCAAGTCCATGTTAATTATTTTAACATCTGGTGTTAATCAGTATCAATCATTCAAATAGTCAGTGACTGTGGTCAGTAATAAACTCTCAATCATTACCGATTGATGAAGGTGAAGCAATGTCAAGAATTTCTGATATGAGCTGTCTTTGATTGAAATATAAATTAAAATAAATTAGGCCATGCCATAAAAGGGGAGAAGTGATTTGAGAAATAAAACAATTCATGGGGATGGTTTAAGTGTGAATTTTCCTTGATTTATATTGTTTTTAGTTATAAATTAATGCTAGGCAAAAAATGAGCAAGCATGATCTAGGAGAATCCATCTGTGATAATCTGATTTTCTGATTTTTTTCCCAAAGTTGCTAGTTTTGAAAGATTCCTGTACATGTATACAGCTATACTTGTAGGTGTAGGTGTGGGCTTTATTTAAACATGTACCAGATGCCTGTTTAATTACCCCAGAGCTAGATTTTAAAACATGTATCACTTAGAATACACAAAGCTGTACTTGCCATTAGAGGAATTCCATATACAGGCTGTCTGATCCTCAGATGCTGTTGCAATCATTGATGCACATGGACTCCAACAGACACTCCAGATTTCAGCTGCCACCTCTTGTCCCTCTCTCTCAATAAAATGAGCTCTAAAATTCAGGAGTTCCTCAGGTTGAGAAGAGTGGACTGGTTGAAATAGATAAAGGCACAGATGCCCACTGTCCAAGCCAATTGCTAAGCTGGTGCAGTCATGTGACCAAGCCATTGTCAAGATGCCACCAAGACAAGTCAATGCAGTACATGGAGGAACATCTCCACTAGGTAGCCATCTTAGAAGATCACCATCCAAACAACCAATAAAAGCATAGTCATTGTTCCAGGTAAGACATCTGATGGAGCTTTCGTGCTTTGTTTTGAAGACTGGATCAGTTTTACCCTTTTGCCATATGAAGATGTTCCCAGTGAAATCTCCTGCCAGGACCAAGTTTTTCTCATTCATTGCAACTCCACATCCAGTGACCTCAAGAAATTTTATATCATGGACCTGCTTTAAATGTTGAGGAAATTTATCTCCAGGGTTAATGTAATCCAGTGAGATGTAATGGAGAGACATGATCCCACCCACCCATAGAGCTCTTCCTGGTACTGCCCAATTTAGGTGAATAATCGAGTTTGTAGGGCCTCCTCTTATTTCGTGAACAAGTTCACCTCTAATTGTCCACCAGGAAAAAATTCCTGACAGGTAAGATACTGCAAGTAGGTAGTCTCCATGCCAAAGTGCAGCCTGTGCTGAACCTGTGGCCTGAAGGAATGATGTGATTGACAGATCAGCTTCACAAAGAAGGAGAAAGATTCCTCCCTGAAACCCAACAGCAATGATACCATTGTGGCATGGTGACAAACACATCAGTGACGCTTTTGAGTCGCCTAGGGGGTCTAGGGTTTGAGATTTCAAGAACTTGCCACTTTCTGAGAACAGGTGTGCTTCACTGAAATGATTGTGGTGTCTCTGAAGAAGTGCAATAACATTATTTTGTGATGTAAAGACAGCCATGTCATAGAAATCTTTCTGCTTTACATACGTAGAACTTGGTTTGCCTTCGTTAATGACTGATGCAGGTGCTTCAATGAGGTATCCGGAAGCGTTTTCTTCTTGGAAAGAGCTGGAAGAACTTTGGATACTTTCGGGGGTTTTAGGGGTAACAGTCCACTTTTCTCGAATTTCCCATTTTTCGTGTTGCTTAACCAGGTCAAATGCGATCACAACTGAATGTAACTGAATATCCTCACCACAGAGTAAAATTCGGTCTCCATTTGTTGACCAGTCAGCAAAATGAACTTCACCAACTGTTGCATTACAGCTGAGGAACAATTCCCAGTTTGGACTCCAGAGTTTTATTTCACCAGTATAACACGCAGTCAAAGTTGCGTTGAGGTGGGAATTATAGAGCATGACAGTAATCAAATCACTGTGGGCTTGGAAAGAGTACTTTCTTTGCATCGTTGCTACGTTCCAGCATAATACAAGGGAACCAAGTGGGGCAACATAGCAGTTCTCATCTTCTCGGTTGAGAAATCGCGCTGGGAATCCCGCACATTGTCGTAACGAACCCACGCCCCAGGAAAAATCTACTTGAAAACCAAATTTTTCTTTTGTGCCAGTACACATTACTTTGGATGAGGACGAAGGAGTTTCCATTGGTTTAAATAAATGTGCCCTAAAGTATTAATATTCGTTGAAAAAAAATCGAATTTTCGAATCTGCTTACTCATTGTGGATTAAGGAGTACTACATACATGAGGTATGGAGATGTCCCCAAAGAAAGCGTGATGCACTGTGGTATAGCTTCCATGGCATCTATGGCAACATCACAACCATCTACTTTCCGCCATCTTTGATTGTGAGGGGAAGTCTAACACTCGCTTTTAAAATGGTAAAATTGCACATTAAACAGGGAGATGAGAGTTTATTCCTCTTTGAAACAACTTGCCAAGCAGAACTTTCTGAGCTGATACCTCAACTTGTTCAGATCCAGAATGGTAGACTAAAAATTGAACGTTTGTTCTACGGTAAGAGAACCATTTGGAACTTAACAGAAGAGTACTCTATCTTTGGTAACTGTTTCGGAATAAGCTGATTTTCTTCTTAATCACCATTGCTAGAACTTTCTTCGTTTTTACTTCACTTTATGGGTCTTAGGCGTTTACATATTGAAACAATCGTCTCGATCGATCCCCACATTAAAAAGTGAAGTCAGAATGATCATGATATAATTTGGGGCTAAACTACAGAATACAGGGCCACTTATTTACGTCTCCTTGAATCACAATGCATGCTTTTTGTTTTCTGCCTCGTTCTTCAAAGCATGCTGACTATCAAGGCCAAGAATACAAGAATACAAGAATATCAAGAATACAAGGCCATTGAGGTAGACCTCAATGGCCTTGTATTCTTCGCTCCGACGAAGGGCTAACGCTCGAAACGTCAGCTTTTGTAATCGTTACGGTGGCCAATTTACCACTTCAACTTTGTTGATATATCCAAATTATTTCGTTACTCCCACCGACGCAGCCCCAAACAGTTTCTTTCGAAACTATCAGCCTTTATTCACCTGTATTCTGTAGTTGCTCCTAATTTGGGTACACATTATTAAATTTTCGTTATTATGTTTTACACAAATCAGGTTTCTTTTTTACCTTTATGCTAGTTTCATTATCATAGCCCTTAACCTTTTCACTCCCAAGATCTGATTATAGTTATATTCTCTTTACTCTCTTCCATTCAATTGTTATAGTGTTACTTGGAGAATTTGGTATTGGATCAACTAATAATCTTATAATTGATGTTTTACTTAATTCTTGTCACTTGTCTACTTGATATTGTATTGATATTTTAACGAGAAGTGCTGTCTTAATCACTTATGGGAGCTAAAGCGTTAAGCTATGGAACATGTGCGTCAAACGTGTTCGAAATAATTCTGACCTTGAATCAGTTTAAATTACTGACAGTAAACATGACAGATAGTACTGTTAAGTCCTGAATAAAAAGATTTCTTAGAAGGTATAGAATTAACCGTGAAATCACCAGTTTTAGAATACAGACTGGAAACTACCGCAAATTTCAAAACTAACTTCAGTTTGAAAGAAACCAGTCCTATTGTTATAAATTTTTGTATTTCAAACATTCAGTCTCAGTCATTCAAGATCTAGAACCTCAGGGTGTACAGTGCAAATGTCTTGGCTCAGGTTGTTGTAGCCTGGGAATATTACTCCAGTCAAAATGTCCTTGAATATGTCATTTCAGAGATGGAGGAGCTTGCAAAACATGGGATAACTCTTCCACCCAACATGCAAGGACTTACAGATGAACAGCTGTCTGATCTCAATCTTCATGAGGATTGGGAGGATGAGTGTGTTCCCAGTGGAGGAGTCATTAAAAATAAGGACCCAATTGGTAGACGGAATGGGAAAGGTATTTTGACACCCATGGACTATAACCAGTACTTTGGCTGTAGTCCTTCTAATGACATCAAAGTCATCCAATGTTAAAGCAACTACAGTGTACACACTCAGGGTTCTCAATAAGTACTGATGTAGACAGCTGAAATATAAAAGTAAGTGGCGGGAGAAGCGAATACCACAGGCATGAGCCTCTCAGGGGGTCTGGCAGCATGCCCCCTCCCCTCCCCCCCTCCAAAAAACTTCAAAATATAGATTTGCCATTTTGAGCCTTTTGGCAAGCAAATTTGGTTTTAAGAAATAATTTTTATTAGAGACAACCATAAATTTTACTGAACATCTTTCTCTTCTTGGAGGAATCCTAATAATGAGACCAGACTACACCCCAAAAAGGGCAGTAGTCCATTAAAGTAAAGGTTTTATAGAAAGTCAAGGCCATTCAAGGCAGAAAATATATAAATAGAAACTCCTTTTGTCACTGTTTGTGTGTATTGATTTGAATAACTGTAGTTTCATTCTCTCAAAAAGAGGTTGAAACAATTATTAACCCAGAGTTAGCTTTACTCAGCATTTGGCCATGCTAGAAAGAACTAAAATGCCAAATCATCGGTGTCAGATCCAAAAGCAGAGTCAGAGTCAGTGTCACTTTCTGAACCTTTTGATTGCAGATTGAGGGCCTCTAGAACTTCATCAACATCTTCCTCATTTACATTTTCCTCATGCTCTCTATCTGCAGCTGCATTAGTCTGAACAGCAATTGTCTCCTCCCTTTCACATTGCACTCCCATTTCCTTTGTTTCACACTGGACAATCACCACAGATGGCTCTGAAGTAGGATTATCTGACTTTGGTACATTTGGAAGTTTTCTTCTCTCCTTTGCCTCAAGCCAGACTCTTACAGCTTCCTTTACAACAGGCAAGCAGCTCTGGACATCTGGTCCATTTATTCCCACAACTAGTATTGCTTGCAGCATGTAATTTTGGAGCCTGCTTCTTAGATGAGTCTTAACGTTCTTTACTGCACTGGCACCCCTCTCTGGCCATGCATTAGTTACTGGCAAACTGACAACTACTTCAGCAATGTAGAGAAGGAGGGTGAAGAATGCAACAAAGGAAGATTAATTCTTATAAGGAGATGAAGAAGAAACCATTCTGTAGTGGTGGTTCTACTTGAACCAGATTTCACTTCTATTGAATCATCTTAATGTTATCATTTACATGGTATTTCATATGAGACCACTCCGCTAGAAGCTTCTCTGATTTTAGCTTTTGGACTTCTTCTGTTTAAATCTGGAAAAAGTGTTTGGCTAAAATGTTGACACTGGAGTGTCCATACTCTTGAAAACCATCAGCTTCATATGCTGGCACATTAACTGGATCAAAGATACTGAGGGCACTAATAACATCAGAGCTTGAAACAAATCTTTGATCCAAATTATTTAAGGGCTTGAAACAAATCTTTGATCCAAATTATTTGAGAGCTTGAAACAAATCTTTGATCCAAATTATTTGATAGAGCTGCTACATACTTTTATGTAAGGCTTTGCATTTGTTGATATGAGGTGTGGGGAAATGTGATATTGCATCCAAGATTTGTAAAGCTATTGACATCTGCTTGTAGTTTGTCCAGAGGGATGTCATCCTCAACGATTTTGTTCAAATGTTGTTTGGTTGCTTTGATTTGTGGTTGAATAAGGGAGAAATTTATGTTGCTTCTTTGAAATGTGCAGGAAAGACTTAAAAGAACTGGAAGAACCTCTGCTAAAATGTACAATGCTCCAATAAACTTTGTATTCTTCATCTTCTTTAAAGGCCAGCTGCTGTGGCATCATTGTGTATGCTATCTAACTCTTGCAGTGTTTGTATTACACCACAGTACTGTTGCTTCATAGCTTCTACTGATTTGTCAAAGCTTAGCCATCTTGTTTTGCAAGCTTTTTTCAGTTTTTTGGCCAACACCTTCTTGCCTTTGGTTGAGCTCACTCTCACTTCATTCACTTTGATAGTACTTTCATCAATAATGCCATTTGCTTGGGTGAGTTCTCAAAATGCTTCCACATTTGTCTTAGTATCTCAGATACATCTTGAATGTATTTGGTGTCTTCATTAGAATCAGTACATGCAAGAGCTAGCCTGTGGCATACACAGTGTATAGCAATGATGCATGGATTATCTCGCTTTAGTTTAGAAGCTACACCTTTTCTTGTGCCTACCATAACAGATGCACCATCTGTTGCCAGCCCCATCAAATTTTTTATGCCTAACTGTGATTAGAGAAGCTCCTCTTTGAGCAAGTCATAGGTTGCCTGTGCAGTAGCTGCATCATGTTCTTTTAGCACATTCTGGGCAGAAAGAAAACTTGTCTCGACTGTTTCACTTTGAGCGTAAAAATACTGGACAGAAGTTATTAAATAAACTGAGAAGTGACACTAAAATTTGCCATCTCATCAGTCATTAATCCAAAACAGCTTGCTGCTCTAACCTTCTTCAAAGTAAGTTCTTTTACAACATTTCCAATTGTTAAGAAGATTTCAGTCAAAGACCCTTCAGATCTATGTTGAAAGTATTTGATTTCAGCCACCCCAGCTATCACATTTGTTATAAAATTAATAAGTGGGAAGAATTTTCTGTTTGGCAAGTACAAAATAAGCTGTTGAAAAGGCTTTCTCCAAGACTGACATTTCGGTTTCTTTTTTCTCAACAAACTCTTTGTGGAAAACAGACATTCTTGAGATCATCGCTGCTTCTAATAAAAGCACTCTGACTTATGACGCCCTGACTTCCTATGTGTTTCAATAGCATCTGACTTGAATTGGTCAGATGCTACTCCAGAAAATTTGTCAGGTTTGTTCTGGGGATTAGTAACTCCATGTTTTTTTACAAGTGATACCAAACATGCATTCCTTCCCCCTCGACATAGCAAAGCCACCAGTTGTCGATTTTTTCCACCCAGTCATGGTTAAACTTTTTAGTCTTGATTCTTTGCAATTCCTGCTCAGTGAGTTCTGAACATTTGTTGAAACAGGTATGGTAGTTGTGAAGTTTACCTTGAGTGAAAAAATCTTTTATCAAGGCTTCACACTGTACCTGTGACAACACAGGAGCGATGTTTGTGCTTTCGGCTGTTTTTGTCTCCTTCATCAACACATGCTGCTGAATTACTTATAGTGGGAATCGCCGGTGTTTGTCAATCGCTGTTATCGGCAGTTTTCTCACTTTCATCAACACGTGCCACTGAATCACTGGTTGTGGGAATCGCTGGTGTTTGCCGATCGCCCACATCACTGGCTGTTTTCCCATTTTCATCTACCTGGCTTTCCATTCTTTGTGATATACAGAAATATTGATCAATTCCAGGCTGGCTTGAACTGGGTTTTCTTTTACTCGTGGGTACTCTATAATTAATTACATACTAAGAATTCATGCCTTCTTCTAACATGCTGAACGCCACACTGCACTTGTTGACAACAAACGCCGGTCAGCAGAATTTTGCAGAAGATAGGAGGCGCTCATTGGCATTGCATAATATGTTTTGCTGCTGAAAACGGCTTTTAAGTATTACTCGTTTGATTCATGCAATTTTTAACTTTGAAATCTACATGTAGATACAAAGTAAGGAGGCAAGCTTATCACTGAAAAGCAGGCGGCTCTAAATTTAAAGTAGCCAGCTTTTTAGCCGGCTGCCAGCACTTAAAAAGAATCCTGTTTACATGTATGCACAATTGTAAACTGACGGTTGCATTTTACCAGATTATTTAGAAAATGCTCTTTACCTACATAATTATAGTTAATAATTTGTTAATAGTTTCTTAGAAGAGATATGACTATTTGTAGTGTTTTTTAACAATCACAATACATGGAATTTATCATACATATGCTTGTTATGATTAGAACCCCCCTTAATAGTCTAATGCAGATTGAGAAAAAATGTCATTAGTGAACAATGGATATGACATGTAACAATCAGTTCAAAGTTCACATGCTAATTGAATGACAAGTTTACAATCTAATTAATGCTCATACAGGTAGTAAGAACAAGTATCTACATGTTCAGTATATATATCTTATTAACCAAGCGCGAGGGCCGTACTGGGAGAACATCGGCCCGAGGTCTTGACAGTACAAAAAAGACCGAGGGCTGATATTCTTCCAGTATGGTCCAGAGCAAGCTTGGTTAATAAGAGATTTATTATACGACTGAAGTTCAAAGGGATGCAAGTGTGGTATCATTCGGGACCATTCGGGACAGTGCCCGGTCCAATACTTAGAGAATATTGCACCGGCAATAGAGCATTTTGATTGGTTGATTTTAGTTATTGGCCCTCTGACTGCCCAAGCCGTGTAATAAATAATGTAATCATATTCATTTTGCTTTAGCACCTAGTGAGAAAATGGCAGAGGTCATCAACAGAACAAGAAAAGAAGCAAAGGCTAAAGTGTCCAAGGTTTGTTGGAAATGGTACATGTGATGTACATACTTTTAGGTATTCGTGATGTGTTGTATTTCTGACACACTGGCAAAATACAGTATGTGATATCACTGATCATAATTATTATGATACTACATGTTTGAGATTCTTGAAACTTGAATATATGACAAGGATAGAGGCTGATGTCAAGTTTCAATACCTGTAGGACCATTGATAAAAGGGTTTCAAGAATTTTTTTAAATATGTATTTTCCACTGTCCTAATTTTTTAGGAACAAGTGGCAGCAAATATCCCTCTCACCAATGAGATTATCAAAGATTCTTTAGATCAAATGAGAGGAGCTGTAATGATTGTGTATCCCATGGGATTACCTCCCCATGATCCCATCAGACATGAACTGGAAAACAAAGAGGATTTATCTGGAACACAGGTGTAGTTTATTGAAAGCACTGGTCAGTAATGTATGGGTTGATGTGTTACTTCATACACTACAAGTGTATGAAGTTAATGAATTAAACAGCCAAAAATCAAAGATGAAAAAAGGTGCTGCTGGTTATGAGCCACTTGGGTTTCCTCACCATGCATAATGTTTTGCTTTAATTTGTGTTCATACATGTACATGACTTAATGAATTAAGGGGAAGTTAATTTGGGTTGGGTTGATTAAAAATTAATGATGGCAAATTACTATTGAGCGTTATGCATGGTCATTTTGAAAAAATCCTGCAAATGCATGTGCAGTGTAAAGTTTTCTTTTCTTTTTGTTACTTTCAATTACATGCCTCATTCTTATATGTACAAACTCATAGGGGGGATGTCAAGAGTACCAGTATGGATTGTAGGATATAATCGAATTTCTCTTTAGTATTTTGTAATTCCACAGTATTTTGGACATAAAGCTTTAAGAAATAAAATTGACTAAAAGGACTATTAAGCTCCATTTCTGTACTGGTTAAATGACAAATTTGTATAAAATGATACTTTTGAGATGTCCGCACTGTAATTTTGTGTCATAAATTATCATAAATTAACCTTGATACCAAAAAAGCTGTCACCGAGGGGACATACACTAAATAAATGTTGTAGATCTGTCTTGAGAAGAAATCTAAGACATTAAGTTGTTTACCCAGACTTCCTATGTTATTAAATTTGTTTCTTGGCTTTGTGCGGAAGAGATGTAATGCTTTGTCCAACATTGAATTGTCCCCTCCGTGACAAAAATACCCACAAAAATTATGATCTTTCTAAAATAAATGGGGATAACTGCAGAAACTTCTGTTAATTATTGAAGTATGGGCTGACAAACTCAAAAGTGGTAAAGAGTTTCTTCCACTTCTTTTTCCTTTTAATTACTTTAAAAAGATAAAAATGTCACAGAGGGGAACTTTTGTCACAGAGGGGACATTACTGTTACAGAGGGGACATCACTGTAATGAAGAGAAATTAACTGTCACTGAAGATAAATGCAATGCAACAAACTATACTCTCCTCAATTAAAAGAGAAATTAATGTAACTATTGAGTTTAAAATTCAAGTTAATTTATGTCAAAAGTGGATGGTT